CCTGTAGTGGCGTCTCCTTGTTCTCAGGATTTGCGATATTTGCCACGGGGTCTCACTCGAGCTTGTCCGTGTGGGCCCAGGGCCCTTCGCGTAGCTGTGTTCCCCCTCTCCTCCGCATCCCTGGAGAGGCCTTTGCTCGCTCTTGGTGCTTCATGCCCTTACTGAGGCCCTGCTGAATGCTGTTGCAGTGCAAACCCTTTCCCATCGCTCCTTTGGCTGTAGGAGGCTCGAGAGGCTTAACTGAACATCCAGGGTAAGAGGTCCTTGCTGTGAATCTTAAGGACTAACAGTGAAGCGTTTGGTACTATTAGCTAGATTAAGGCAGAGCTGTGTGGGGAAGATGTGGCCACAGGGTTTAATAGAGCAGAAACAAAACTGATTGTCATTATTTTATCCATAGAGTGTTCTCTGATGTCAAGCATGGATCTCTCAGTGATTGCTGCTGAGGATATACAGAATGTGCTCTCAGCTATGCAGAAGAACTTGGAGTGCCCAATATGGTATGACAGGGGCTGAGATCAGTGCGCCTAACGAGTCTTTTGGTTGTTTTTTTTTCTTTTCTCTTTGTAAATACTTTGTCAGCTCTGTGAGTGATCAGAGAGCAAAGAAACTTGTTTTTAAGGCTAAGTGTGTTTATGTTTTGTAAGGCTCAGGAGAGAAGGTGCAGGCAGAGCTTCTGTTTTCCTCTCATGTTCTAGCAAATGTTGCTTTTCTATTACAACCTGAATACATCCTTTATCCAGTGAGGAAAACAATGTACCTGATTGGAGTAGGGCATTGTTTGCAGAACAATGTGGATCTTTGTCCCTTGTTTCTGAAGGGGAAGTGATGTCTGCAGCTTTTTAAGGCAAACAGATGCTGAGATAGCAAAGGTTCTGGTTGATGCTTGGATCCCTGGAGTGTCTGTGACTCCTGTGCTCCTGTTGTTGTTCTTCCTTTTGTAGCCTGGATGTGGTGCAAGAGCCAGTGTCAACAAGATGTGATCACATGTTCTGCAGGTGGGTTTGAGCACCTGTAATTTGCTGCTTAGTCAATCTGTTTTTAACTTCCATGTGTGCTGATGGTGTATTATGCTGTGTTCTTAATTTCATGTGCACCTGGTTTAGGGGGAAATCAGCTCTGTGGAGAGAGAGCTGCAGCTGCACAGGAGTGTCAAAGAGCTCAGTTTACTCACTGCAGCACAGAACAAGAATACAATTGGTAGCAAAGGGTTTCTGCCAGGTGGTGATTGTGCATGCTCTGGGTTAAGAAAATTGTATTCTCCTTTTTTTGGCATCACAATTATCTTTTTTTTTCCCTAGTTTCTGCATGTTCAAGCTTCTCAGCAAAAACAAGAAAGGTGTGGTACAGTGTCCTCTGTGTAAGGCTGAAGTTACCAAGAGGTGAGCCAGGGGCTTGAGGGTGAGAGGCTTCAACTCTGAGGAAAAGCCAGCAATTGTCTTAAATGTCTTAGCAGATTGAGGTAAAGGGGAAAAAGTGGTTATTAAGCAAACTGTCCATTTCTGAAGGAGTAACTGTGATGGCTTAGCTCAGTGTAAGCTTTTTCCCAGACAGTCACAGGTGAACACACCTCTCTTAGCAAGTGTCTTTGCTGTGTTAGTGTTCAGTCATTACCACTGGCTTCTCTCTACTAAACCCATGTGAGGAAAAGCATGAAATGTTCGCTCTTGTGACAGTTTTAATTCTTGTAGTAATAGTTGTTAGAGGGAATTGTATTGTTTTCCTTGGCAACAATTTCTTACTGCCTCTGGAGTTCTACTTGTTGTTTTGTTCAGCCTAAACTCTAGAAGCATTTATAACTGACCCACCCATTTGTCTTAAAACAACTCAAGTACTGATGTCATTTCAGAAGTCTGAAAGCAAATTCCAGATTTAAGCAACTAGTTGAAGGATTGTTGGAAACTATCCATGCTTTTGAGTTGGACTCTGGAGTGAAGTGTAAGTGCTGTGAATTATGTCCTAACTCTTTTCTTTAATAAAGCTTTGAAGTTTATATCACAACTGTTTACAAGGTGTTCCTTGTACTGTGCAGTGCTAGAGATGGGAAGAATTCCCAACAGGCTTTTTTCTTGGATGTGGAAGCATAAGTTCCATGAAGTTTCCAGGGTTTTCGTACAAAGCCTCATGAACAGTTTTGCTGTGTGCTTGATGACTCCAGACAGTCTGATATTCAGTGCCTGAAATGTGCCTGAATGTGCATCAAACCTCTAATCTATAACTGTGAGGCAAAGTCCTCTTGGTTGTGCCCAGCCTTGCAGATTTAACTTGTTAAACAGGCTCAGGGAATTAGCAGGTGCTCTAGCCATGTATGTTAACTCATTCCATTCAGATAGATTATTTGGGGAACCCAAATTTATTCTTCCTAGTGCTCAGTGCCCTGTGAAGGGGATTGCCTGGTCATGTTTTGCGAGACAAGACATCATGGTTGGGGCAGGTGGTAGTGAATGACTTTGGCTTGGGAAGGTGTTTGTGTATTGTACTATAAAATAGTGTCTTTGTTTCCAAATTCTCTTCAACTCGTTCAGCCATTCTAAAATCACGAGTATTAGATCCTCTTCATGCTACATTTTCTATGTGAGCAAAATTGGTTGGGAAGATTAGTTGGTGAGAATAACATTTTACTTAACGATTGAAGAGTACTTGGAAAGAGCAATTGGACTAATAATTCAATGAGATTGCTTCCTTTGGTAATTGTGCTTTAGCTGTGTATGTGCTAGGCGTGTAGGATCTGTGCAAAGCTATGTATGTAAATACCTGTGTCCCACTCACTGTAAACATCTTTTTCCTCTTGACATCATTCAGTTTTAAAGAGTCATCACTTTCCTAAAACATCCACAGAAGCCACTGCTGATGAGTTCCTGTATAAAGAAAGTTCTGTCATCCAAAGTAAAGGCTTCAGGAGCAGGAAAAAACGTGATAAAGAAAATGGGCAAGAAAACTGCACCTTGGTAATTGTTCTTCTCCCATTTTGTGTAAAAGTTTGTTTGGAGTGTGTGTACGGAAGTGGTTTGGGTTGGTTTCAGATCACTGTTTGACAAGGACATTACACATGTTCTTGTATTCCTGACTGACTGTAGATGATGTTTGGCTAAAATGACCTGAACTTGTAGATAAACTGCCATAACACAGTCTATTACTGGAACTGGGACTGAAAACTTGTTTGTTCTGCATGTTTCACTAGGCTGCCTAACTACTTGTAGGGTTTTTACTTTTTTTGGTGGTAAGACCATGACTGTGTCTTAAGGACTCTTAGGGCATTACCCAGCTTGGGGTGATTGCTGTGTGTGACTGTGTCCGTGGTATGTTGTCTGTTCTCATCTGCTTGATGCTGAACAGAATGTTAGATAATACAGAATGTAAGATCAAGCTGTTCATGATTTGATCTGTTACATGCATGACAGTTGTTTCTGTTGACATATTCCATGACTGGTATCAGTATGATAAATTGCTTGCTTTGGATTTCTGCATGGAAGCTACCAATGCACATGAACTAAGGATTCATATCAGTCCCTCTGCTGTAGCTTAAGTAATTACTTTTTCTAATAATGTACTGTAATAAATAACCATCCCTTTCTGTTATTCTGTCGGCAGGAGGCTAATGTGAGCGCTCAGCTTGTAGATACCAAGGTCAAAAGGTGTTGCCTAAGAAACAAACCCCAGAAATGTGATGCTCAGAAAGGGATTTATGTGGAGCTTGGTAAGATCTCTTGTAAAACCACACTAGCTGATCTTGGGTACAAAGCTTGCAAAATAGTGAAAGATGATGAAATTCAAAGTCCTTAGAAACACTAATTTCTCCATAACACCCAAAATGACAACAAGGGGACAAATAATGGACAATTCCAAGCTGGTAAATCAAGGGGGTTTTTACACAATCTATTATATTGTGGCAAATGACACTGCTGTGATAAACCTTTAAGCCTCAGTGTACAAAAATCCAAAGAGGAGAAGATGTTTACAGATGTCAAAAAATTTATAACTGTCAAAGCTGTTGTTTTCTAAAGAATACTAAACTTTGTCACCGGTGCTCGAAGCTCTAGCTAATAACCAGAGATAAGAATGCAGTCCATTTGAGAAACAAATCTCATTGCTATCCATCCTAGCCTTGCAGAATCTCACTTCATCTGGTGCTGACTGTAGTGAGAAACAAGGCAGATGCTGTGCATTTTTTTTTTTCCCCCCCTGTTCCTTCAAGGAAGGTATTGCTGCTTTTAGGGGCTACTGTTCATTGCCTCACTTTTTTTCCTCATTGCTGGAGTCATGTAGATATTTATACATAGAAATCATTATAATTAGGTAAAATAATTCACAATTGAACTTGGTTCCATCTGTCAAGTGTTGAAAGCATCTACCTCTAGGAAGAGCTAAGTGTGCATGTGATGATGAACAGTGACTCTAGTAAGTCAACTTTCTCTGAGTTGTTCCAACAGAATAACTGCTGATTTGTTTTCAGACTCTGAATCGTCTGAAGAGTTTTTTGAACTGGAAAGCAAAACTAGGTGAGTAGGGGTGGTTAAAGAATTCATATATCCAAAAGGCAGTAGGCCAGTATTCTCTTTGCTGTGTTTCAGTTTCTTAGCATAAGACTGAGAGAATTCTTAAGCTGATAAGTGATTTTCAGCTCAGAGGGCATCAGGGTGGAATGAGTAGCTGAATTCCAACATTTTTTCATATTATATGCTTAAAAAAAGTTTTCTAAATGTTTTGTTGCTTACATAGATATTAGATCTTCAATAGAAAAGTAGGCACTGTGCTTTAGAAAGTACATGTTAAACTCAGAAATGGGGGAGGGGATCTTTGGCCTGAAACTGGAAGGGATCTAGTCGTGCTGAGGATCCATCATGCAGCCTGACTGTTCCAGAAACTATGTCAGGGAGCAGAAAAGGAGAAATAAGTATTGTCTTCTATTTTGTCTATTGTGGTTTTCTGTGTAATGAAAGTAGATTTCTCTTCCCAACAGGTCTGAAGACAAAGCAGTGGTTCATATTTCTTCCCAAGAAAAACTAGAAGAACTTGAGAGTACTAAGAAGGGGAATGAAAATTCTTGTAATGCACAGCCTGACAAGCTGTGTGCCAAAGAAAGATCACTACCAAGTGTTGTAGGTATGTTTGCTATTTTGGTGACAGATCACTGAGCTTGAAAGAGAGCACAAGTTAACATTCTCATGTCACATGATTAAACATACACACTTGCAATTTGTATGTCGTATTTCTGTTGATGCCTGCAGCTAGTGACAGTATAATACAAGACTATAGCTGTAGACCAGATACTTAAAATGTGGATATTCTATGCACAGGAACAGAAAGGAAAAAGGTAGCTTGATCTAAGTGCAAAACTTAATCTATTCTACATGAGACACATTATCCCTTAGAGTACAAATGGAGAGTACTATCTGGTGATTCATGTAAAAAAATAGAAGAACATATGTAATATGATCTTTCTGTATTTCTTGAGAAGAAGATCTGTGCCGTGTAATATTCTGGTTTGGGGAAAATAACAGCAGTTCTTTTAAAACAAAGTAGCCATTAAGCTTGTCATTGTGCTTGTGTGTGTAAAATAGAGCTTAATAATTTATAGTACCTATAAATCTTCAGGTGAAAGTGATTTCTTGAAGGAAGGCTTGAGCAAAAAGAGCCCTCAGAGCATTGCTGACTGTGCCAAACCTGAACAAGTGAATACGACTGAATGCCAGAGCTCTCCTTTAAGTGTTCTTGCTGTAGACCTCCTCCCAGAGCGATGTGACAGAATGGGTAATGCCAGTCCCATAGTGAACAGGGACGCATCATTCTTGAACACAGAAGCAATGGATGAAGAGCAAACTCAGTACAAAGAGTTTCTCTTAAGAAAGAGTTCAGAGAGCAGGCTGGATAAAAGCAAGGAGATAGCTACTGTTGTACAAAGTGTGGAAGCTGTGGAAATGCATGAATCTGAGAATGACTCTTTCCATGAAAAAGAACCTCCTTTGGAGAAGCTGGTTCAGCCAGAGACACTTCAGTGTGCCACCCTGGATTTAGTCTCCAGGAAGAGGCTGAAGCAGAGCATTCAGAAAGTCAATGAATGGTTTTCAAAAAGTAATGAGATTGTTTCTTCCCATTCTTCCCTGGATAGTTCTGCTGGAGCAACTGATATATCAGGTGAAGGAGATGGGTGTTTATCAGATAAAGAATCTTGTGTTTCTGAAAAGACTGACCCTATGGTAGATTCCATGGAAATTACAGCAGTTGAAGGAAACAAGAGAGGGTCAAAACAAACAGCAGATAGCATCAAGGACAAAATATTTGGAAAAACGTACAAGAGAGAGAGGAAATCAAATCCTCCTTATACCTTGAGAGACATTTTACCTGCCACACCAAAGGAAAATGTGGCTACTGCCACAAAGCAAAGACAGACAGAGTCTTCCTTTGCTTCCAGCAAAGACAGACTCAAACGCAAAAGGAAGACTGCCAGTGTCCTGCAACCTGAGGATTTCATCAAGAGAACTGAGGCAGGAGAGGCAGATAGGGGCCTTCAAGGTGTTAACAGGGAGCCTGGAGATGCTGAAAGGGAAAGTCTTGCTGTTGATGAGAGTCACCTCCCTCAGATTAGAGCGGATAAAACACCAACAGAACTCGAGGAAGGAGGATCCACATCGAACAAAGCTATTGAAGAGGTGGCTGGAAGGGACCTAGAAATGTATACCTATGATCAGAAAAGTATTAGAAAGAGAAGTTCTGCAGCAAAAAGGTGCAGACGTTCTACTAGAACCATGTGTGCTCTACAGTTAGTGGCGGATAGAACCTCTGTTTCCCCCGATCCAGCTGAGCCACAGATTGATAGCTATCCGAGCAGTGGAGAGCCCAAGAAAGTTGATTCTGAGCAAAAGCAAGTCAGGCACAGCAGGAGGCTTCAGTTACTTGCTGAAGAAATGAGAAAAGAAACAGGAAAAAGAGGGGTAGTAAAGGGTGCAAGAAAGAATGGCAGTGATCATGGAGGGTCTGTCTTTGGAGACCAAAGCAATGTTGTAACCTACACTTCTGAATGCAAACACTTGTGTGAGCCTCAGGATGTGTTGAGTTACCAGCCAGTCACTGACCTGAAGGAAGGTGATCTGGAAGCAAATGGAATGCAGGTTAGTGTAAGGAATTTCTCTGACTCTACAGAAACTGGAAAAAATCTCTTCAATCCTGCATGTCAGCCTTCAAACTGTGGTTCCTTTGCACCTGATGCAGCTTCTCAAGAGAGTGAAATACGAGACAGTCCTATCCTCCAACAGCCTCCTTCAGTGCCTGCTGTGCAAACTGCTTCCCAACAGACTGCGTCACCTACTGCTTCTCCCCAGGAGTGTGAGCAGGACTCACAAAGTGTTTCAGGTGACTTCAGAACTGAAAAGTTGCCAATGGCTAAAAATGTTTTGGATTTGACCAAGGAAGCTGAGGATAGTGAATTAGATACACAGTATCTGCGAAATACATTTAGGCATTCAAAACGCTTATCCTTTAGCCTTTATCAGGCTCCCAGGCAAGCACATGCAGAGGAAGGTGCTGCTTCTGAAACTCTAAACCTGTCATGTGCTGCTCAGGTAGGAAATAAGCATCACAAACATTTACACCCCAAAGACTTGCAAGAAGACAAAACTGCTGAAAGCTTGAGCAGGGCTTGTGAGAAAGAGAGGCTGAAGACCTGTGAGTCTGCCTGTGTTGGTCCTGTGACTTGCTTTGCCATCAGCACAGGAGAACACAGAGATATTTCACAGTCTGTGAAGAAAGGGACTCTGACACCAGTGAGAGCAGGGACTGCTAGGATTGAGGACAAAATGGGATTGCTAAAAGGAAAGCAGGACAATGAAAAGCCAGTGTCAGCTGATGTAGGTATAGAGGGTGACCTGAGACAGACTCTGATCAAACCTAATAGCAGCCAAGATGAGCAGAGTAACACAAAAGAGCACAATTCCAAAGAAACTGATTTAAACACACACCATGAAATAGGCTGCAGTTCAAGAAGCAATCACGAGGGAAAGACCAAAGTTGTTGGTGGCAAAGGACCAGTACTACATCTTCAATCCAGATCAAACATTTGTCCTGCAACTTGTCAGCAAAGCCCTGCTGAATTCAGCTGTGAAGTCACTGAGGGACAAGGTAGCAAGAGAGAAAGAAAACGAGTAAAAGGGAGTGAAGAACAAGCAACCCAAACTGCTAGCACAGCAGTGCCTGAGTGTTTGGTTGCAGAAGCTCTAGGAGAACCTCTTAGAGGGAACAGTGATTTTACAGGTTTGTCTGAAACCCCTGATGGCTTACTGAGCTCTTCTAATGATGTTGAAGAGAACACCAGCTTTGGTGAAACCGATAGGAGAGAGCAATCTGCAGTGTTTGTAAAAGGAAGTGACAATGCCCTGGTGAAAGAACTGCCCAATAGAAATGTTAATTCTAAGCCAAGATCTCAAGGCATTCAAAAGTCTCGAAGACGAGTGCAGAAACTGCCATCTTCAGATGAAGAATCCAGTGAAGATGAAGACTTCCCATGTTTTCAGACATTAATATTTGGCAAATCAGTGAGCACACCTGTGCAGGTCCACAAACAAGTGACATCTGTGGTAGAGTCTTCAGCGAGTCCCATCATGTGGCCCAACAGTGGAAGTAACGATGACAATGTTATGCAGAAAATGCCTGAAGCTGCTGTAAGTACTGGGTGTGTTTCACCAAGCCAGGAGTCGCAATGCTCTGTCAACTTGTTTTCTTCCCAGTCCAATGTGTCTGAAGAACTAGTTAATGGAGCACAGGAGCCAAAGAAACTTTTACTGCTAGTTCATGCATCCAAACAAGTCAGCAATGTGAATGAGAGTGAAGAAGCTTTTCAGAGTAGTAATGGAAGGATGAAGAGAACCAAAACTAACTCCAAAGATGAATGCCAAGATGACCCAAACATGGGAGCAAACCAAGGTACAAACCTAGACTTACCTGCAGCTGTTTGTAATGTCATTGCACCCAGGTTCGTGATGTTTGCGTGGCAACTTTGCCCTGTATTTATGAGGGTGCTTGCTCTTCTAAAGGAATGTGTCAGCCCTAATCAATCAAACAAAACTTACTCAGTGGTTTATTTCCTGAAATCTGATTTCTCCCCATGTCCTTTGTTCAGAGCACAAGTGAACAGACTGGGCACTAGAGGCTGAACCTGTCTGATGCAAGTTCATGTTTTAGGGAAATGCTCTTAATGCACTGTGACATTGCATTGTCAGCAAAATTTCATGGAGCCTACCTAAACCTTTCCTCCAGGTGAAATGTTTGTTGAAATTGGCTGAATTTTGTAGTGTGGATTTTGATGTTTTTATGGCTTTCATAAATGTTTAGGACTCCTTTCATCACTGTTGAAGAACACCGAGTTCTGTTTACTTTGCCATGTGTGTGACATGGTGTCTTTGAAATTCACTTAAAGTAGATCTGTGCTTCTAACTTCAATGTTTTTAAAACTTGTCACTTTAGCACTGTAGTTAATAGTTGACTAAAAGGTGTGTGTGGCAAGAGATGATGGCTAATTTTTTTTGGTTTGCTGTTGTTCAGTGCTTTTTTTAACTCAGTTTTTTCTACCTTCTTCAAGGAGAAGCATCTGGGTATGACAGTGAAACAAGTATTGTAGAAGACTCATGTGATCCATTCTCTCAGGGTGAGATCCTTACTACACAGGTGAGTTTGTGCACTAAATGCTAGAATTAGCTTGCATTCTAGGAGATAAGTAAGTGCTTAAGAGCTGTGAAGTTAGGACATTGTAAAACTGCTTTCATCATAATTCTTTGTGTCACTAAATTGCTTCCAAAAGCATAATTAATGAGGAACTGTAGAACTGCTTCCATGCCATTATCTGTCCAGGCCTTGCCTGGTAACCTTGCATTGCAATGGCCACAGCTTGTTATCTTGTATTGATTACAGGGCTTAATTGTGGGAGATGCTAGTTAATGCAGCTCCACACTTGGCCAGTGCTGGAAACCTCGGCTCCCTGTAGTTATAAGCTCTGTTGACAGCCATTTGTAAGGATTGGTGATAAGGACTGGGTTTGTTACAATATGCTGTTTAGGAGCATGAAGACTTGTCTTCTAAGGGTAAATATTAAATCAAATCATTTGTATTATAGTATTATAGGTACAAGTTCCAACAGGCACTGCCTGATGGAAGCCATGTCTAGCAGATTATTTTTTGCCTGCTGTTAATATCCTGAGTGCTGCTAAGTGGCCTGACTTTTTGTATTGTAACACTGGTGGGGGTGATTCACTTAGGGACTGAGGGGGTTTTGTTTCGCTTGGGTTTTTTTTTGTCCTCTGTGACTTCAAGATAGGTCTTATGCCAAATCTCTCCTACCTGAAAGAAGGTTGTAGTCAGGTGGGGATTGGTCTCTTCTCCCAGGCAACCAGCAGGAGGACAAGAGGGCACAGGGCTGCCCGGGGAGGTGGGTGGTGGATTCACCATGCCTGGAGGTTTTCAAGATGAGACGGGATGTGGCACTTAGTGCCATGGTCTAGTAATGATGGTAGGGTTGGACTTGATGATCTTGGAGGTCTCTTCCAACCCAGTTGATTCTATGTTTCTCTCTTCAGCATTATCAGCCTTGTGGGTTTCATGTATGTCAAAGAAGGCTGAATTTAAGTTTTGTGCTTTATGGGTGGTTCCTCTGTTTACTTCACGAGTGTAAAATGTGGTCAACTGGCAGAGCACTGCACCATGATGGGGCTTCGTTACTCGAGGTTCTGTGATGTGTCTGGGTTGAATGAATTAATGGCAGTATGGATTGGTGGTGAGTTTTGGTTTGTGGGGTGGTGGTGGTGGTTTTCTGTTCAGAGTTTTTTATGGATTCAGTAACAAGGAAGTTCCACACGGTGCCAGTGCTGGAGCTACAGATGGAATATTCAGTGCTGTGGAAACTGCTTTATCAGGTAGGGTGAAGGTTTTGAGTTTTTAAAAGCATCATTTGACCCCTTGAGTTATTATTTCCAGGAGCATGTTTTCAATTGTTTTCATGCCATTTTTGAGAGGGAAGGTGAAGGTAAGGAAGAGTGGTAGGAAATATCTTAGTCCTTTAAATGGTCTTTGGGGCTTTTAGTAATGGTGGAAAGTGCAGAGGCGCCCAGTACCTGATGTTCATTGTTAAATTTTAAATGAAGTATCTAATGCAGCTGGACAAAAATACTTTAAATCTGTACAGAAGTTCTGGGGTTCTTACTGGCTGATTAAACTCTGTTGAGCCAACGAAACTGGAACAATTTGCCTGGCAAAATGAGTGTGTGGTTGGTTGGGTGTTTTTCCTTCTGATATAGGGTGTGTGCACTATTTATTATGGTAAAAGCACCACAGTCACCTTTGGAACACGTAGCAAAAAGGAATTGAGAACAGTTTTGCTGTTTCTAATGTTCAAGAGTTTGTTAGAGAATTGAGTCCTGAGTTTGGTCATGTTGGCACTCCTGTCTCCTTTGCAGCAGAAGAATGCTATGCAACATAGCCTAAAGAAGCTTCAGCAAGAAATGGCTGTGCTTGAAGCAGTGCTAAAGCAGCATGGAAGTGAGGACTGTGAGATTTTACCTGTCCATGGGGAACTGCCACATTCCAGTAGTGAAGAAACACATGGAATGGAACAAATGAGACGAGAAAGAGAAAGGTTAGTGTTTTGGTTTGTGTTTTGGGTTTTTTACATTTATTTCTAAACATGTATAAAAAAAAAAAAATCAAAGTCTTGAAATAAATTACCTTTTGAGCTTCTGAGCAGTCACCACAGTTTAGCTGTTGCTACATGGTTCTGGTACACAGAGTGAAAAAGGAGTTAAAATCAATTTCCCCTCTCTCAAGATCTCCAGAATTGTCGCTTCTATATCCTGAATCCTGTTTGTTGAAGAGACCAGAAATGGAGTGTGAGAGTGTTCGAAAGAACAAAGTTCCTTCTCAAAAGACAAAACCTGTGCCGGAATACAGGCAGTGCCAGCTGGAAGCAGGTAACACTTAAGAGATCCAACACATTTTGATTTCTGGTGGTTTTTTCCCCTGCGCTTTTCACATTTTTACAAACAAGCAAGATACAACTTTTCCTTGTGTATCAAGGATTTTGATTTATATGCTCCTGGTCAATTTAGAAAGATGTTATTTCTGGTTTGGTAGCCCAGCTGTGTGGCTGCCCATCGGAATGGGGTGTGACAGTATCTTGACAGCAATGGGAGTTTTTCTGTCTCACGTCTAGGCTCATACTTTGACAGGTACAGTACTAGAAGTTTCACAAGTATTCTGGAGTCTTGGCCATAGGCAAAGGAGAGGAAGTGTCTGCAGAATTTAAACCTAAAAGGTAGAGAGAGCAACAGGCTTCTACAGTGACTACAGGAAAGATGAAATTGTTTCAAGGAGTAATTTCTCTTATCCTTCAGAAAACACAGAGGAGCAGAAATCTGGAACCAGGCACAACAGTGCATCTGTCTCATCGGATCTGTCTGGAAATGGGATCAAGAACCCAAATAACTCTTCCTCCTCTGGAAGTCTTCTTAACCCTCAAACTGCAGAAGCCACAAATGGGTCTGTTGTTGCTCAAAACACTAATAAAACCTGTGACCCAGGACACAAATGGAAAAGTGCATGTTTTCCGGTACATGTTCTGCACGATACAGCTGGGAAAGGAAAACCTAAAAGTCCAGCTGTGACTAAGAGGAAAGAAATGTCAATTGTGGCATCAGGTCTGAATCACAGTGAACATGTAAGTAAATTTCAGAAGTTTGAGATTTGATTAATGTTTCCTGATTAGCACTAATTAGCACTCCCTCCAAAGAGAGATCTCTAAGTATAATAGACAGTAATTGTGTAGGAATTGCAGGTGAGTAACACAGCAACTGGAGCAGAACTTTTTCTCTCCTAAAAATGTGAAGAATGCTGTAGTGGCATTGCTAAGCTTAGTGAAATTTCAACTTTTTTAATTACTCCTGAAGTCTAGGGGGAAAACTTATTCCAAAGCCAGAGGACTTCTAGAAAGTCTTGAGGCTGGGGGGGTGCTTGGTTCCTTTAGTGTTCTTAGATGATGATGCTTTACCCAAATTCTGATCCCTAGTAAGGATTTCTGTGAGTTGTAATTCTGAGTTGCTAGTAAATCTGTTTCTGCACTCAGTTTCCAGGAGGATTTGGCTTTTAGGTTATAAACCACTGACAAAGAGCTCTGCTTTGCTTTGGTTTGGTACAGTACAGGCACACTCTGTTGAGTGGTGCCAAAAGTACTGGCTTTTAAGGAAGTGTGCACTGTGTGCCAACGTTACTTTGAAGGAACTATCCTATTATGTTATGATCCTGCAAACTGAGGTAGTTGGGTTTAAATCTATTCTGCTACCTAATAATTTTCTTAACTGCTTTTCAGTTGATGGTCCAGAAGTTTGTGAGAAAAACTCAGAGCACTTTATCCAATCACATCACTGAAGGAACAACCCATGTCATCATGAAAACAGGTTTGTTGGGGACTGTGTGATCAAACTCTATATAGAATCATAGAATTTAAGGGTTGGAATGGACCTGACAGATCATCCAGTCCCAACCCCTGCCCTGGGCAGGGACACCACCTCACTAGATCAGGTTGCTCAAGGCTCATCCAGCCTGGCCTTGAACACCACCAGGGTTGGGGCAGCCACCATGTCCCGGGGCAACCTGTGCCAGTGTCTTACCAGATGTTGACAGATCATATAGAATTTTACCTTTAAGCTAACCAACAAGCAGGCAGGTCAGCAATGAATGACAAAACTGAAAGAGATCTTACTCTTGTTTGCTCTGCAGATAAGGAGCTGGTGTGTGAACGGACACTGAAGTACTTCTTGGGTATTGCAGGAGGAAAATGGGTAGTTAGTTATCTGTGTAAGTATAACTTGTTTCAGACAAAAATGATTTCTGCCCTTGTACCAGGAATGTAGCCTTCATGTGTTACAGGAAGGAAAAAGGATCTCTTCATGTCTTGGCATCTCATGTTTTGCAGTGTTTCTTCTAAATACTTACAAATAAACTCAAATGAAGAAGCAAACAAGCAGCATCATGAAGCTGCTTACTCCTCTGAATACTTTTTCTGCTTTCAAATAACCATGTTGGATTGCTCCACACCCATAGCACAAGCCTTCTCTTCCTCTTAATTTAAATCTTTGAATGCATGGCATCAATTAGTGTAAAATGAATGTTATTTGTAAAAGATAAATTCTGAAAGCTTTTTCAGTATCATAGCCTATTCCCTTATTGCAAAAACCTTAAATTTAATGTAGCAATGAAGTCAGAGTACTGGCAGCGAAAGAACAATTTTGCTGGGTGAAATAACTTGTGCTGTTCTGATCTTTTTATTTAGGGGTAATTCAGTCTTTTAAAGAAGGAAGGATACTGAATGAGGTAGGTCATTTGTCTCGAGTGACATGTCAAATGGGCAAGCAATGCTGTTACACTGATGGACTTAGCAGTAACCTCAGATATTGTAGGCATAATGAGTCCCTATTGTTTTTTAACAAGTTATAGACACTTTTGTATTCCTACTGATATTGATAGATCACAGCATAAAGCAAAAATCTATTCTTTGCTTAAGGAAATAATGTTATGTGCTGATAATTTCTATCAACTGTGACTTTACTAATAAGGTCTCCAGGTCTCTTGGACTGTTCTCCTTTCATTCGGTTTGCTGGACTGTTATACCATTTGGCTGTGATTTGTGTCCTCAAAAATTTGCCTGCAGTTTCATTGCTGCTTTCCAACTGTCTCTTGAGAACTGTTTTTATTTATTTTCTGCACGCACTTATAGATAGCCAGTTCTGAAATCTGCCATCTACCTGTTTTGATGCAGGGCTCTGGCAAGAAAGTGTTCTCAGTCTTTTACTTCTGATCGCTTTTCCTGTGTTATGTTCCAGGAGAACTTCGAAGTTAGAGGAGATGTAATCAATGGGCGAAACCACCAAGGTCCTAAGAGGGCTAGACAGTCTCTGACTGAAAAGGTATGAGCACATCTGGGATGCAAACTGTCCTACTGTGACTGTTTCAGATATGTAGCTGTGCTACCTGAATGTCTGAAACTTCCTCCAATTTCTCTGCCATTCCATATATAGAGATCTGTACAAATTGAATGTTTTTAGACATAAAAGCTGAGCTCTGTTAGCAGCAGAGCAGATATGCTCAAACGACTCACTGTGCTTGGAGTGACTGTTGCCTTCTCATAACATTGCACAGGGCTGAGGTCTTTGTTCTTTTGGTTTGTAGGTTACAAAGAGCTTTGGGTACACTTTGTGAAGTAGTGATGATAACAATCCCTGGAAGTGCAGAGTAACTCTCATGTTAAGTACTGTCCTTTAAAAACACTGTGTACTCTGCTAACATGTTCCTTGTTTTTCAGATCTTTAAAGACTTTGAGATCTGTTGCTATGGACCTTTCACTGATATGACTACAGGTGTGTCATCTTAGCATGAAAAATATTTGGAGGGGAATTGTGTTCATTCACCAGAATTTTACATTTTACCTCTTCTTGGGTAACTTATCTCTTTTCCTCTGGAGCTTTCACAATACCTACATGAGGTATAGTGTAGGTAATAAAATTTATCCAGTTCTGTCTCCTTGGTGGAGTGGAAATGGTGTTCTCTCCTATTTGGATGTCCTCAGAGAGCCCCTCTGGCAATTTTGCTGTATGTCAGATCAGGCCTTTTATCTAGTTTCTTTCTGATTCTCTTAACGGTGAAGGGAAAGTATTAATGCCATGCTGTCTGGTAATTTCTTTAGGTGCTCTTGAACACTTGTACTTGAACATTTTTTCTTCTGTCCTAGTAAACAGTTCCTGACAGCATAACCTTCTCTCTAGGAGCAGGTGTTAAAAGTGAAACAGAATAAAGCTAGAGGTTTATATGCAAAGAAAAATCTGTGCAGTATAGCTTCTTTTTGTTATTTTAAAATTTCATAAAGTATATTAGATGGTTTGAAAATTCAAGCTGGGGTTTTTCTACTTAAGGCATTTTTCTGTCTTCCCATTTTTTGTGGCTTACTCAGCAGATACTTTTGTCCATTAAAATTTTATTTTTGCCTGGGTGAAATATCCTCATATCTCTTGACATTTGCAGTAATTGCTGCAGAGGATGCAGTGCTTTCACCTGCTGCAATGATCCTCAGTTGTGGCTCTTATACTTGAGAGACTTATTTACCTTCTTCACTGTCAATTCAACAAATTGGTGGAAATTATACTTTGGCTACTTTCGTTAATGAGAGATAATCACAGTTCTAAGTTCTGGTTTTTAACTTTTGTTTCATGTCTTGCATCCTTATAAGAGGAAATAAATTGTGACTTGAAGTGTTAGGCATATGTTCTTTTGCTTTTTCAGGGTTTTGTTCTGTTTAGACCTGACTAGAATGTGGGGGAAGAGGGAGTTGATGTTTCCCAGCAGATTTGAAAATGAAAGGTCTTAGTTTCTACCAAGGCTTCAGGTCTCTTTCAGACTATGGTAGTTTGTATCTTGGAACAGATATGTGAGGGCTTAGGGAATAGCATCAGCTTCAGTGTGATATAAAATGTGAAAGCAATAGTCTGTTCCTCTGATTTCCTCAGAGCATCTGGAGTGGATGGTGGAGCTCTGTGGTGCCTCTGTCGTGAAGCAGCTTCATCTGTTCACACACACATCGGTAAGTGTTAATGAATGTTACCCTTCCCAGAGTAGTTACAGCCTGCACAGTGTCTGGACAGGTTACCTGGCTTCACAAGCCTGTCAGCCTGAAGCATCAGGTGTGCTAGAGACCTGTCTGCAGAGCATGGCAGCATCCCTGTGACTAGGCTCAGCCAGTCTGCACTAGAAGACAGGCTTACTAGGAGCAGAGAAATGATCAGTGTCAGCCAGATAACTAGTCTGTCTGGAAATCAGCACTGAGCCACACCTTACTAAGGCCTTTAGTGCCTTAATGTACTCACAGCATTTCTGGAGTGAAATCACGAAAAAGACTTAGGAACTGTTGTCTTTCTCCCTCTGCTACTTCTTAAATCCCTCTCTGAAGTGATGCTCTGAAGCAGAGTTAGCCCAGTTGTTGCTCTCTGCAGATAGATATGAGAATGATCGATTGATTTAAAGACAGATAACAGTAGCATTTTTATTTTTTATCTTAAAATCCTAGAATTCTACTGCTGTTGTAGTTGTGCAACCAGATGCTTGGAAGGAAAACATGGATTATACAGGTAAAACAACACTGTCATGGGCTGTTCTCTGGTATACATAGTGTCTTTATCACCTCTGTCCTTTTAATAGCTAAATATCAAACAGGTTTGTAGAGGAATCAAAATGAAATCCTACTACATCTGGAGATGGAGGTATGTCTTGAGAGAAAAATCTGGAAGGAGAAGGTATAATTGTCTCAAGAATCAGCAATAGGGTCTTAAAAGCTCCTCTGGCAGGTGAATGCTGTTGGCTTAGTTGTCCTCTGCATGTCATCAGCTTTACAGAAACTTTTCTGAGTGAATACTTTCTAACAGGTGGGGAAAGGCCTCCTTGGAGGACTAGTAAGACCCAGGAGAAAGTCTCAGATGGAACAAGATTCTCTTAGTGTGGAAAGAATGTCTTGCTACAAAGCCTTCAGTGCTACAGCTTTGCCTTTTGTTATTTTTTTCTCTTAAGCAAAATGCTCCAGAGAAACCATGGGACTTTGAAAGTGCAAAATGTTCCAGACTGACTTACCTTTAAATGAGACAGGGGCAGGTCTGAGATGAATGGGAACTGTTTAGGCTACAGTGAAGCTCGACAAAAAGGGGAGCAGGAAGATGTTTTAAAAAACCAGCTGTTTCCACAGCACTAGCAGAATAAGAAAGTGAAGATCCTGGAATGGGGAAGAACAGTCTGAAAGCACTTAAGTAGTTTTCTGTTGCTTTTGTCTTAATGTGACTCATTGCTTGTCACGTACTGTGTGCCTGGGGAGACAGGAGCTGAAGCTCTGTCACTGAGGTCCTAAATTAAAAGATAACAAGGGCTGCATTCTTCAGTGTTTGTTCTATGGTGTTTGCTGCTTCCTGCTTGGCCAATTGCCTAACAATTCTTCTCTTTGGAGCAGCAATGTTACCTGCGTTGGTGATGGGAGTGGTAGTACCACGTCCCTGTTCTCAGGCTTTGGGGTTTTATCAAGGCATTTGAAGTGTCACAGATAAAGCAATGGCTTGGTCTGAAGGACATGGCTAAGCTCACCTTTGGGCATGCTTTGACTCCCTGATAACAGCTGTGTGGTTTGTGCCTGTCTTGCAGCAGTCCAGCAGCAGAACAGCGTTGCCATGGTGACTCGGGAGTGGGTCTTGGACAGTGTGGCTTGCTATGAGTGCCAGAAGTTGGATGCTTACCTCGTGTCCTAAGGGTGAACAGCAGTTCCTTTGCCATTCATTGCTCAGAAATTCTCATCAGTGCTGACAGTTTGAAATTATCTTAAGGACTGAAAATTTTTAAGTCACTTATGCAGAGGTTGTGAGTGTGTAGTGTTCTTGTTCAGGGTAAACCAAGACATTTTTTATAACAATAAAACTACTTAAACAGTGTTGCCATGTAAAGATGGAATTACTGTTCTTCAAAGGTTTGCAGTAATTTAAAGGGCTATTTTGAAATTATAAATGTTAAATTTTACAACTTAGAAAATGTAGAATATAATCTTCAGAGAAACGGTGGTATGTTACTTACCACTGCAGCCAGTTCCTGTTGTATGCTGGATTCTGGGGACAGTCATTGGAAAGATGAATATTGGGCTTAGGGCTTGAACTGAAACCTTACTTGCACTCTGGAGTAACCTCCATGTTTTCCCTTTGCTTAAACACATTCCCTAAATAAGATGTGGAGCAGTGGAACACTTGTGTTTGATTACTGTTGCATCAGCCTTGACTATTGCTTATGGCTGTGTTGAAAACTAGGCAAACAGCTCTCCTGTTGGGTATCAAAGTGCAAATCTGCCCTAACCAGAGACCATTATCCAAATGTACAGCCCCTAGAAAGCCAACAATTCATTCTCAGCAGAAACCAGGCCTTAAACCCACAACCCTCTGCCAGTGCTGTCAGTCTGATTTCTCACACCTGTATGTGGCACTGTGAAGAGATGATGAACAGATGCACTTTAGTATCCCAGTGACCCAGAATAAGCCCAATATGAATCTGCTTCTAATAGTCCCTGAAAAATGGGGCTGCAAAGAAACTGAGTTTTTTATGGAAGAAAATATGTTACTTGTTTCTGTTGCCAAGCAATTCAACTTCATACCTAATTTTGTACTTTGAGAGCAGAAAGAGAACCTGATCTCATGCAGAGATTGTTTAAAAAAGAAAAAAAAGTAGCTAAGTTCAGAGAATTGTTTAGTTCTCAGATGCTGCTGCCTTGGAAAGTTACGGAAACTATGTTTGTAATATTGGAATGCTCAGCAAAAATAAAATTTATTTTGGCAAGTATTTTACTTAATTGTTTAGCTTTTCTTACAAGAACCAGTCTCTGCATTGAGGCATGTGTGAAAAAATACCCGAGGTCCAGCTTCCTGGAATGGGAAGGGAGCAGAGACTTGCCAGAGGAGGTCAGAAACATAAATGAGAATTTCAGTGTTGGAATCAGAATTGTAATTTCTATCAGCCTGAGATGTAAATGTGTTATCAAGTGTGTTGCAGCTGCTAAGTGCAGGTATTCTGATCAGGCATTGCTGCTGGTGCTGTCAGTGCTAGAAGCATTTGCTCAGCTGACATACATTACTGGTTTTCTCTATGTGACAGCGTTCCATAACTACACGGCCTTACCTTCAGACTGATGCTCTTCTTATCTCTAGAGCCCATGCTGGTGGTTGTTTTCATAATCTACATTTCAAAGGATAGCTGGGGGACACTAAATGCTGCCTGTTGGGAGGAAAAGGCCAAGCAAGACTGTTTTGCTTCTGCTGTTGTGAAACTGTCCCCCAGGTCTTGATGCAAAGGTCTTTTCTAGCAGGTGTGGTATGAGTTCCAGCTGGATAATTGTCTGTAGGAGTGGCATCTGTGATACTGCCCTTCCTCCTTGGAGGTGACTAGACTAGATCTGTGGAATCTGTTTCTATATACTAAGTGTCATCCATGAACTTTTGCAGTGAACTCCATCTCGTGTAAGATTTGAATGAAGGATATATATGTGTCCAGAGGAGTAGGCAGCTTTTAAGGGGAACTGATGTGGCCTCCATCATAGAATCCATAAGGACTTGTGTAATCTGAGTTCCAGCTCCAGTAATAAAACCCCAGCCCTTGGACTTTCATGGCACTCTAGGCTGGGAATGCCATATTTGTGAGGACCAAACTCCATTTCCTTGCTGCTTGCTCATGAGCCAAAGCAGCTTTGTGACACTTCCCAGGTAGGAAACCTGAGGTGCATGCTGTTTCCAGGTGTGGCTGGGCCCTGCTGTTCCTGTTATGGCAATGACCTGAGGGGAGAGGAGAGCAGAATCACACATCATTAATGAACCAGGCACTAGCTGAAGGGGCTGCACACAAACTGCCCTCTTCAGCAGCATGTGCTTCTGATGCTGTTCACTGGAGGGAGGGAAGAAACAAAAGAAAGGTTGGTGCCTACTCTAAGCTTGCCTGAGGCTTTGCCACCAGGCAGGTACCACATTGGTATCTAAAACTGCACTGGGTTTGTAACAACAGGAGCTTTTCTCAATGGAGCTGCATCAGAGTCAACTTGAAGAAACTGGAGCTCTGCTGCTGTTTGGTGTAGTAGCTGTGGTCCTGCAGGAGGAATCTGCTTGGGCACAGCTTGGACCTGGCCTTTGCTGGTATCCTGGTCTGGCCATGCTCCCTGTGAACCCACAGGAGCAGGTGCCAGGGTAATGCTGCACTGTGCAGGAGTTGTCCAAGTGGGAGGGGGTGGCACGTGAAATTCTTTCCTTCCTTTCCCCTTCTGTCCAGGATATTAATCCCTCAACTAATTCCTAATGCAAATGAGAGGAATTTGCTACTTTGGGCCAACGAAGTACATCCTGTGCTAATGAGAGCTATCAGTGCACGGGGCCAGGCTGGCTTGGGC